GCAAGGATAAAGGTGAACACCACCTATGGAAAAGCACACATTCCTCTGAAATATGCCAAGAAATGGTGTAAAGGTAAATGCAGTCTTTTTGCTCACTGTAGACTGTATAGCTCAAGAAATAATGGGGAGCGTGTGTTTCCCATTCTCTTACAGACTGATGCATGTTACCTCGCCCTAACTTAACCACAACACAGACTTGAACCTGTGTGGCCCTGAGCACTTTGGTTTTGATAAAGGTCTTTCCCTGCAACCCTGCAGCCTGCTTGCCACTCACAGGTTCTCCTCTTTGCCCCATGCTGCTGTGGTAGTGTGCCCTAGCACCTGTGGGATAGTGGTTTTTATCCTGTTGCTCCTATGCTGTTATTCCCATGGGTATGTACCTGCAAAGCCTGAAAGTGCTGTTATAGTAGGTTCTGTATAGAACTTTCAGGCTTGCCAAGGAAGCTGCCTTTACATATGATGGAGAGAAACAGGCACCTCTAAAGGGTGAAAGTTATCTAACTGCCTTGCATTTATCATTAAAAGCTTTTTTTCCCCCAGTACCAGATGAGATGATGAGGGAAATGGTTCTCCAGAGCAGTGGTTGGGTTCCCACCAATGAGAGAGGACATTCAGGGTCCTTTGCCTTCTCCTGCATAGAGTCAGGAGGCACCAGAACAGGGTGAGACTGAAACAGAAAGTGAGGGCCTTCAAGCAAAATAAAATAATTTAATTACTGAATTCATCTTCATAGCACTGGATTTGGTAAAACATTATTGTTTCAAACCTAGAGGTGCAAAAATGAGAAACAGACACAAAACCAACAAATGACCAACCCCCCAAAAAACCCCTTTGACTTCTATAAGCAACTTCAGAAGCTATTGGAAAGTTCATCACCTCGTACCACCATTTGGTCAGAAAAAGGAACTTGTGGACTTCATTGTATTTATAAACATTTAGTTCAAGCCAAAATTTGGCTTAATTCACTGACCACTTGAAATACTATGTCAAAGAAGAGAAACCGTTGTTGAGGATGGCATTTAAATGGTTAAACCAGAGGAGACAGTCTACATCTCTTAGCATTATTTCTCTATTATCTCTTACGTATCTATTCCTCCAATGAGAAAATGGCCCAAAGACTGTGCCTTCATTAACTCTAAGAATGATGAATTCAAATCAGCTATCCTGTGCTGGATGGGAGGAAAAATAATATTGAATACCTGCATTAAAGGTTACACCATACTATAGATGCACACAGAAGATAATGAAGGGTAACTAAAGGATATTCTTTCATTTTACAGTTTTATCATTTTTAATATCCAACTTTGAGATTTTAACATCTTAACACAGTCTTTGTCTATGCAATTCTCCTTTTTTTGGCCCATGTCGTTATCCTTGAGTATTATCTTAATATGGACTGAAGCAGGCATGTGATCATTTTGTGCAGCTAGAATGTGCAGACTTCTCAAAACACAGCAAGTATTAAACAAAAGGAGTCAGATTTTTTATAATTAGCAACATGCTTTTTTCCATACACCTTACTTAGCTTTTTGTCAATGGTACTCTATCAAGAATACTTTCTGTCTGTCCTTTATCCCTACTTCTTTCAACTTGGTTTTATAACAAAACTCTTCACAAAATGATACACCTTTGAATTTTTGGAATATGTATATATTGCCTTTGATCTGAGTAAAGAATCTACTCTTTTTCTTTAGTATTTTCTATGTATATTGCTAACAAAAGAAAAATCCCTAACAGTATTTTAAAGATGAACTGAAAGTAGTTTAAAAACATAGAATAAAAAATATATGTACATGCACTTAGCACTAACAACACAACAACAAAAGCATAATTTGCAGTTATGCACAAGTCATTCAGGAGATTCTCTAATACTGAGATGTTTAATGTAGACATCACGGCAAAAATTATCTGCTCATATGTGCACGAGATGGCAATTTCTCTATTCTGCTACTGTCACAGGTACATAATTCCTAGAAATAGGCAGTATTTTTAGGCCTGCTGGATGGAAGAGAAGTGAAATATATATAGTTTTTATTTCACAGGAGAACTTTTTGTCTAAAAACATCAGTCAGTGCTTCTTTTTCTTTGTATCGCTGTTTTTTTTTAATGCAATGTCTAATATAAAACTGCATTTTTTTAAAATCGTTAAGTATTTTTAGTTTTATGTGATTTTACAATGATTCTTGAGAGCAAGTGTCCACTTCGTACAATATTGCTTCCATGTATAAAAATAATACTGATGTAAGTACTCATGTATGTAAGGTTAGAAACAGGCTTCCTGTAACACTCACACAATTTGACCTCACTATTTGCAGAAGGCAAACACAAGAGATACGGAAAGCCAGATCAGAGCCATCACCCCCACTAAAAATAAATTCTATTAGAAACAGACTGAATTGTTTATCCTTTTTAAGTTGTTACGCGTTTAGAATAGAATAGAATAGAATAGAATAGAATAGAATAGAATAGAATA